ATTTTTTACAATCATTCTTTTATTGCTTTCTAGAATTTTTTTCACCATGGATCCTAGTTGTGGGTCACTTTCTCGTGCTATGCGTAATCGCGCTGTTGAAATCTTTGTGACACCTGATGATAGTGCTTGGTTCGTCCAGCCTCAAAATCTTCTGGTTGGTCTTTTCTGTTTTACAAAGGCTTTCTGCTGGTTGAGGAGATATGATTGGTGTTTTATAATTTATTGAAATTTTCGGTCAGAATGTTAGAAATACAGAGAATATTTCAGGAGATGGTCCACAAATCTTTTAATTTAGACATTTAATTCAATTTTTCCCTTTTCTTTTATTGCATTTGTCGAAAAACTAATTAGTTTTGCTTAAAAGCTGCTCAAAAGCATTGACATTGTGGGATTAACTGTGATTCTTGCGTATGGGGAGAAATAGCAAATCACTTTTCAGTTCTATATGGGGTGTAAAATTCTAACTTGATTGGTATGCGACGAAAGAAACGGCAGGAATTTTGCGTGTTTTTGTTATTTTTGTTACGGTGGGTGTGTAGCCTTTTTTTGGACATGCACTGATCAAAAAGTTGTGGTCATAGGAAAGATATTAATGTATTTTTTACTGGAAAATAACACTACGTGCCAGATTTTGCAATCTGAACGCAGGTCTTCTTAAGAACTTCTCGGCGTAAAATCGAAGAAAAAAAAAAAGAAAAAAAAGTCGAAGAAAAAGTTTTGTTAGGAAAAGCGGCGTAGTATAATCAACCTATTGTTGGAGGTAATTTGGCGACTGTCGGTTTCTGAAAACTAGATTGACCTCTAAAATAAGATTTGGATTTTAAAATGATGTATGTAGAGAAGTCGTGGATTTGGCTGTTTCTTTTTCTCCTTGATACGGAAGGTTCGGTGTTTGTCCTCAGACGGCTGGTACTTTTGCGCCAAGAAACAATTTTTGGAGGCAGACACTACTCAAAACCGGCTTACCGGTTCCCAATTTTTTGCTTTAATTCAATATCAGAATAGTTATTTTTCTCCACTTGGGTCAGGTTTTTTAGTTTTATTATCTTGTTTTTTGGACAGTGATTTGACATTATGGAAGTGCGCTTTGAATGACGTTACAGTTTTTTGCTTCTGGTTCATTTAATCTGTATTTCACAGACTTACATTACTTGAGTATTTCTAATATCTGAGCAATTTTTTCTTACCAATGTTCATTCCTGTCCGCTCCATTCTTTCAGGATGTTGTTCTTCCTGAAAAATTTGACAGTGATTGGAAGAATGTGTCTCCCCTACTGGATCTCTTTAGATGCCTTTCTCCAAATCAGCTGCTGAAATGTAGAGCAGTTTTCAAGAATTTGGAACTAGAGCAGTCTGTGCGGGTACGCTTTTTTCCTACAATACTTATTTTTTTAATTGCAGCGTTTATTTGGAATTTGTATTTTTTGGCTTGGAAAGATTGTGTCACACTTGCAGTGGAACAAAAAAATACAACAGTATTGTGAGGTTTGTAATTATTCTCGTATAAAACTTTTAATATTTAAGTACGCTAAGTCGTTTTTGGAAGAGGCACCCAAGGACAGTATTAGTCGTATATCTAGTAGTATCCCCAGTGCAATTATTCGGTACCCATATGTCAGCAAAGTTAGTTCGATAGAATTAGATCGGTGGAAATGGGGAGTCTTTAAGACACTTGGAAAGAACGACCCATTGAAGGGGTTTTCATGGGCATTACTTCTTTCGTCTACAACAAGCGTTCTTCAAAATATTATATATTCGGAGTTTCCAGAATTAGGTTTATAAAATTTTTTGGAGTTCAATTTATTATTTTGATCAGTCAATTCTTCCTTTGAAATTGATTTTATTTAGACGGACCATTTATTCGTTCAATTAAATGCATTTTTGAAAAAGGCAATACTCAGCTGGGTATTTCAGTTGTGGATGACCGTATTTACGGTCACTGTGCTTTAGGGAATAGCGCGAATGTAGATTATCATACCATAAATCAGTAAGTTTGTTTTTGGACCTTGACTGTTGGCAAAAATACATTTCTTTTAATCTTTAAAATCGTTTGTTGTTATTCAATCTTCAGTTAACATCCGATTATTCATGTAAAGAACTGATCATTTATTGTTTTAGAGTAATTAATGCTTCACTAGCGTATTGGGCATTACAGTACATTTCTAGACAAAATATGGAAAATAATTCTGGCATGCATCTGAGCACTTTATTCAAAGAAGGTGGTCGTTTCTAATGGTTTAATTATTTTATTTCTAACCTACCTTAAATCGTAGCTTGGTAAAATTTATAGTTTTTTTGTCTCAAAAGTGCATTTTTTTTCTGAAAGTAACCACTTCCATCCGTGTCCTTACTTGAGATATCTAGAAGGCAGAGCAGGTCTACTATAATTCACATTTTTTGTTCGTTCCGGTTTTAAGGCGTTCTTCCACGAGATCAGCTACCATCTCCTGCCTGCCAATTTATAAGAGATTTTGTTGTTTATGTGAAGCTGTTTTTGGCTGATGCTTCTAATTTTGTTTCAACGTCCGTGTCCGAAGTGAGTTATAAACTTTTTTAAACGGTTTTTTGCGGGTGATTTTTTGAGCAGTAGACTTTCTTCTATCTTCTAAAGACGTGTTTTAGCCATAATTAATAGTTTATGAGTAATACAGGTTCTTGAAAGCATTTGGAGCCTAATACTCTTCATCTGGCAGTGCTTTAAGGAAATGAATACTAGGCTTTCTTCAGCACCATTACATCTTTCATGGCAAAATATGAAAGTGAACTTTCTTCAATTGCCTCAGTAAGTGATTTTGTCACTGATGTTTCTCTCAGTTCTCTTGCTTCATTTCAAGGTTTTTTAGTCGATCTGTTGACCTTTACTGTGTGCTTGAAGAAATTAATAAGTCGTGGTCTCTAGTCGACGAAGCAGCTTTTAAAAAATTCCTTGAATTTTACAAGGTTTTCCTAGGGATCGTTCGCCCGTTCAGAACTGAAGAGGCTTTTGTACAGGTAATTTACCGTCTTTTTGTTTACTAAACAGGAGTTCTTTTTGTTTCTTTTGTGTTTTACCGAGCGTGCTCAATTTAACACCCATCGAAATGCTAGGTTCACCGTTTAATATTTTAAAAAGTACTTTACGTTTCGGACGTGGAAGTTTGTTTATCTAGGTAAGTCGCGTTCTGCCAAGTGATGATACCAGGCAAACAGTTCTTAATGATTACTCACATTTGGAAGGGGAGCCACAAGTGAGGCTTGGTAGTTTTTCGCTCAATAGCTTTATTGGTCAGTCTTTGAAAATGGCTGTGGACGTCCTATGTTCGCTGATGTTTCTTCAGGAAGGAACCTGGGACGAAGTTAGCATTATTAGTCATTTGTTTTACGATGCTGTTCTCTTCTTGTTGTAATTTTGTTTTTTTTTTTTCGAATTTAATGCACAGTCGTACGTTCTCTCAACAGATGTAGAATTGTATTTCAGGCTTTAAAAAATGCCATTTCTTCAGTGGGGCCCTGGCCCAAACAGCTTGATTTTGTTGAAATTTTTGATTGGAGATCTGAGCAATGGAAACAAATCGAGAAGTTCCTTTGGTTTTCTACTTCTGACTTTCTAGTTTCTCAACTGCCGGCAGCATTAAAAGTATTGTTTATATTAGCCACTTAACTTGCTTCTTCCACAAAGCTTTATGAAATGATTCTGGATAGCAGCTCTTAAAGAATTTTACTTTACAGAACTGTGACATGGTCAGTTTGCCTCTGACCTTCGAACTAATGAATTCCCTTTGGAATTCTCTCAGTTACGACTTTAGCCTGCGTAATGTTACGCTCGGCAACATGGGAGAATTTTTCCCATTAATGGGAAGATATTCGATTTTGTTTTTTATGATTGCTCCTCATTTGAAAGACTATCACGGCATGAACAGGTTTGGTTTCACAGTTATTCAAGTATCGCCTGTAAAACCCATCAAAGTTGGTTGTTTAGGTAATAATTCTACCTTTTGTGCGAAGACCAAATGTTTTTTTAACTCTTTGCAGAAGTTGGATCTCAAAAGCAACTTGTTTGCTGAACGAAGTATTAGAACGCGTGAATTTACCGGATAGTTCATTTTTGGTTGGGCTGGAGAGTGGAGATCATGGAGTGGCATTTGCTCACGCAGGCTACGCATTAATGGCTTTGTCATTACCAGCCACAAACATGATTGATCCTGTAATTAGTAATGAGCAAAGCATACGTTATCTCTCAGAAAAGGTGGTCGATCTCAGTTGCTTGAGTTTTTATGCAGCGTCGTGCTGCATTCGACGTGAAAATTGCCTAGAATGTTTTGCTAGTCGTTTTTGAATGTATCTTTATTAAGATGAAAGTTTCTAGATGAAGCTAGTTGAAGATCAGCTTTCGATTGTGAAGCAGTTCACATATATTGCTTACGGCCACTCTTCAACCGAGTTTTTGGATTGCTCTTCTAACCCTCTGATCGTTGCCCTAATTTCTCTCAAGGAAAGAATCTTGCGACAATTGGCAGATTTTGATCCTGAGTTTGTTGCATATCGTCCTGATCATAAAACGGTTCGACATCTTTAGCATTAACTTACGTGGACTTGATTGTTTTCTGATATCTTAACTTTTTGATAGGAATATTTTAAACCCACTTTATTAAAATTTAAGTTTTTGCGGCTCTCTTATGAACTCGATTCGTTCTACAAACTGACGAAAGAGTTTTACGTAAATGTTTTGAAAGATTGCATGGACGAAAAAAAACTTGCTAGCCAACCAACAGACGTTTTGGAGATGACAAAAGAGCAGCTGAGAAGTTTCATATTTTCCGCAGGAACTTTTTTGGAGGTTGTTTTCGAGAAAGGATTTCTTTGTTCTCAGTTTTTTCAGGCTTTTTATGTTTCTGCAGCTAGTATAGTTTGGAGAAGAGCAGTTTGATTCAGTTTCTGTTTATATTAGGCATGATTTAAAGTTATGTTATTTGCAGCGCACTCTGGCTGAATTTGCTGCTTACCCAGATATAATTTACCCTTATATACTAGGGTTACAGTGTCTGATAATTTATGTTTGTGGCACTAGAGTTTTTGTTACAGAGGTTCTACACGAAAGGCAGTTGAAGTCTGAACACGATATAGCCTCATGTCTTGTAAGGTTTAAATCATAAGATGTTGTCCTCGTTACATGGATTTTCCAAATGTTATGTTTTTGCCAAAAAAGTTGTTGACAAATTTCTTTGAAGGTTTGTTGGGACCGTTCAAAACAGTTTGTTTCTTGTCCAGATTTCTACTGTTGGGCGGTACGGGAAAGCTCAACAATGCCCAAAAGACTGCAGATTTCTGTTGTTAAGAAGTTGTTCAATGAAAAAACCAACATGGATTTGGTTGCTGCGTGGTTAGGTTAGTTTCAGCTTCAAATAATTTTTTTGACTAATTTTCATATTTTATAAACCGCACCTATATTACCTTTGAAAATGAATGAATTTAAGTTGTTTAGTGAAAAATTGGTCTTGTTGGTATGAAAACAACGTCGAAAGGGCTGAAGACCTTTATATTTACCGAAAGAAAAAGAGTGGAAGCGAGAACATCGACGACGATGAGGAACTGGTGGAGTTTTACATTAATATTGCCAATCTTATTTTTATTTTCTTTGAAAAATCCTTGGTAAAAAGATTTACTAAAGATTTGAAGAATGAGAAAGGAGGCGTCTTGTAGGGTTAAAAAAGCATTTTTTTCAAAAATATTGGACGTAATATAGAAAGTCTAATTAGGTAGTTTTACCGACTGGCAAAATGAGCTAACTTTCATTTTCGGAGGCAATTCAAAGTGTCATTGAAATGTTTTTTCAAAAGATACTATTTTGAAATTTGTGTTGCCACTTTTAGTAAATTACGAATGTTTTTTTCCGGGCTATTGGTAATAATGTTTTTATCATAGCTTCTTTCTCGGAAATGTGTTTCATGCAGAAAATTTTGATGTGTTTGTGAATTTTTGAAAGACACAACATATTGACCTGTGCTTTTGCGAAAGACTCAGCCGAATAGCGCATATTAGTTTTAGTAACTTGTGGTTACATCTATTAGATCACATTCATTTGTTTCCCTTTAACTTTTCAGATGCGTTCTATGTTTCCCACTGGAAATGAAGAAGATGATGCTATGCAAGAACATTTTGAGAGAATTTCTGATGTTGACTTGGAAGATTTGGTACTATATATGTTTAGTGGCCTCCGTAGTACTGTCGATGATTACATGCCTTTGATGTGGTTGGCTAACGCCTTTGGTGTTCGCCTTGAGAATGCGCGTCTGGATTCGTTATTTACTGGTAGAGCTGCCCACTGTAATATATGTATTGAGTCTCGCATTTGTGGTCATTTTAGCATTTTCTTGCAGCGTTCCATTTTGCTGCTTTGCGTAAACTTGAGGGTCCTACTGCATCTGTTATTGACGTATATAGGAGTAATGTTCCGAAGGAGTTAACTCGATGTGCCATTGCTGTGAACAAACTTGTTAAAAAAGTCTCCTCTTTGAAGGAAATTTGGCCTGAAGTTACTGTATTTGAAAATATATGCCAGGTGAGTTTTTCTTGACCATAACTTATTTTGCTATACATCTCTACAGAGGAGAGTTTTCAGGCTTGTGAGAAAATTTTGTCTCTTTCTGCGTCAACTCCTCAAATAAAATTGGCAGAAGCAGTTGAAGCACTTCTAGGTAAGTGGTATCAGTAATTCGATTTATGGACTTTCTTGCCTCTTCTTTTAGGTGTAAATCGTTTAATTAGTTGATTTTTGTAGAAGAGACAGAACATTGGGAGAAAGTTGCAAGCCACGAATACTCGCTGAAAAACGAGGTCACTGATTTAAGGTCAATGCTGGTTGAGTGGAGGAAGATGGAGGTTTTAAGCTGGGAATCAATTTTATCGACAGCTCTTGTAAGTATTGTTGGCGGTTTTCGGATTATTTGGTACTTCTGAATACTGGATAGTTTTTAGGCATCCACTAGGAGGCAGGCATTGCTCATCTCCTGGCCTCTGTTCGAGGCGGTATTAAAGAATGAAAAAAGCAATAAAGAAATAGTATTGATGACAGTAGAGTGGCTGCAGTGTTCAACGCTAGTAGATTTTGCTGCTCGATTAGAAGTACCTTCAATGATTTCTAAAATGATTGTTTCTGGGATTTCTTCAGACGCAGAGCGAAGTAGTTTAGTGCCCCTGTTCCAGAACTTGGCAAAACATTTTGAACAGTTCCTTACGGTCTCTGTTGCTTTTTACGGTTGCTTTTTGTTTGTAGACACTCTGAAGCTAGTAAATATTTAATTATTTGGTTTTAGCCAGTGAATGAAAAGTTGGAAACTCGAAGATTGTCTGCTGAAAACGAATTAAAAAATTTCTTAAAAGTTGTTAGGTATGATGATTTGAATTTGTGGAGCGTTAAATTATCAGCAGGCAGAGCACATCGACAGCTGTTTCGTATAGTGAAACAATTCAAGGTTAGAATTAGTTTATTTTTTAGATTTATCTTAAGCTTTATGTGGTAGACTGGTTTTCATTCTGCATTTTGTATTCGTCACGCTAAGACTACTTCTTGTCTCGTTAGACTGCTGTTTAACCGTGATGACTTGGGAGCGATTGCCGTACTGATTAACAGTGTTGGAAATGCTTGAGAAGCACATTGAGAAGTCTCAAGATTGAAGTGATATAGAATTTACTGGTTTAGGCGAAAAATTGAAGCAGGTGGTCATTAGAAGTGTTCTTTAGATTAATGAACCGTAGTATGTCATGTGATGAGGGATATTTTTTGATCAGCAAGTAGAAGTTAGGTCTTGCAGCACTGATATTCAAGATACTTTTGCAGTTTAGTCTTCAAGTCGTCAACTTGTGGTTTTATGAAATAGATTCATGCTGTGCTGATAAGTTCGAATATTTTTCAACAAATTTACCTCTTCGCCTTCTTCAAGATTTAAACCTTTATAGTAGTCTCTTTGTCAATGACCAGCTTATTTCTTGTCTCATTTTTAAAGATTTCGTTTTTCAAGTGATAAGTATGTGTTGTAAAAGCTGGGAATCAATTTATAGTTTTAGCTTATCGTCATATGAGTATTGTATGTTTTTTTTAGTACACATATGGTTTCTGCTTCAAAAATGAAGCTGCTTCGCTTTGTGGGAAAGGTCGTTCAGTATATTGAATCGTCACTGCATAGTTACTTTTATAAGATAAAAATTGCAGCTATCTTGCGAGGAACCGGTGGCACCAGTGTTTGATGAGGTTTTATCAGTGAGAAGTAACACTTATTTCGTAACTGAATTAGACACTCTAGAAACAGGTAACGTGGAACTACAGCCGATCGATAAGAAAGCGAAATTGTTGGCGGAAGAAACTCTGGAATACCTCTCTGCTCTCAGTAATTTCGATGAGCTAAATATGGTTTGGCTATGTTATAGTAGTATCGCTTGATTAGATGTCTATTTTGAATTTTTTCTCGGTATATTTTACTCATGATCTTTTTTTTTTCTTTTTTTGAAAATGAACTTTTAGCTGGTTGACTTAACTGACAGCTACAGTGTTCTAATTGAGGAAAATATAGTTTACGAAGGCAGTCAAGAAAACATGGAGAAGCAACGCGGGAGTGTCATGTCAGGAAGGCAAAAGGTTTATTGCATTTACGTTTGAAAATTTCTGATTTTCAAGTGTTTGCTTGCGAAGTTTCATTGTTACTGTGTTTATGCTTAATCTGGGCCATTTTAAAGGCAGCATTGCTACATAGATCACACTCATTTTTCTTCTTCTGGCATTTGGATTATACTTTCTAGGCATTGTCATTTCTTTTAAAGCGGCTTAGTGAATTAGGGATCCGCAGCCGTTTGGGGCTTAGTGTTGATCCCGAGAAGTTGACGGAAGCTATTTTAGTCCATATAGACTCTAGCGGCTCGGATTTTGAGAAGGTAGCTAGTTGCTCTTACTACTCTCTTATTCTATTCTTATTTTATGATACCTCTGTCATTTAAAGTGTTTTACTGCTAGGCGTGACTGAAAACGAAAGGTGCTTTTTGCCTAAAAATTATTTTGGCACTTCGTTGTCAAATTGTTGTTGGAGTGTCGTGAATCATCGGGCTGATTTGTTTTCATTACGTGGATCTGTGTTTTTTCATTGTTCATATTTTCTATTTCTGTTCGTTTTTAGCTGTTGCGGTTAGATTGTGCTTTCCGAAACATCTGTGTCAAACAGTTCCATAACCCTAATAAGCAACTTACTCCTCAGATTATTGCGCGCATCAAAGGAATAACGGAATATATTCTTACCCAGCTACTGGATTTTTATGGTCTAACTTGTTTACTGACTGGGGAACTGAAGGATTTTTACAAATCTACTGTAATGCTTAGGAATCAGATAGCAAATCTTAAGGTAGTTTGTAAGTGATATTTAGTTAAAAATAGTTTCTAGAAGGACATAGGCAGATGTTGCTTTGATGCCTAAATTTCCACTTGTATATTTTCTCTGGGGTTTTATGACCTTTTTTTGCCTTATTTCATATTCGTTTGTTGGAGGTCAAAAAAATTTCAGTTTAAAAATTTTCAGGAAGGAAAGGCATATTTTGTCCACAACTCTTGGAGTGAGTGTATCATATCCGCAGAAGAGATCACTGGTGCGATTTCTTCATTACTTCAGAATATTAAAAACAAATTGGATTTTGTGCCAGAAAAGCGCGAAGTTGGTTTTTTTGTTGTTAATGAGTTTTGCAAAACTACTGAGTATACATGGCTTCTTTATTTCCCCAATTCTTTTAGGTGTTCTTTCTTGAGTCGACTGGGTTGCGTTGCAACATTGACATTTGATAAATAAAACATCTAGTTTACCAATTAATTTTGGGAGTTTATCATTCACTCACCCTTGTCGTTTGAAAGGGCGATTACTTATGCCACAAAGATGGTCAAGTCCCCTCCATTACATCTTTTCAATCTTTCTTTTGAAGCAGTGCGAAATGGGCGCCTTGTTTGAATCTGGTTTTTCTGGACTCCATCGGAACCATGTACAGTTCCAAACCCTTGTAAATTCTGTATGTGATGTGGAGACTACTAATGAACGCATAAGAACTGCGCTACAACAGCCACTCAAAATGATAGAACGTTTAGGATCTCCCATAGTGTGGAAATGGTTAGCGTGTTCCCAACTTCAATTCTTATTTCATATGCTTTTTCCTTTGTAAGTTACTTGCCTGAGAAGTCTGTTAGCGTTTAATTAGTGTAATAGTTCCGAAGACTACAGAACTTTATTAGGAAATATATCACAGCAGTACAGAATAGTTTACTGTTTTTTCTATAGTGTATTTAAGTCATGAATGTGTAGGTGAGCAAGAGATTGCTTTGTTCCCAGCGAATCGTTAGTTGCAGTTTTTCTTTTTCTTCTTTTTCTTTGGATAATTCTATCGTATCCAAACTTCTAAGTTGTTTTTGCACAAAATAAATTTGGTAGTAATGGCATAGCACGGCAAGCAAATTTGCTTGCTTGACAAGGGGATGAATTAGACTTAGTTTGAATTGCGTAAAATTTTTAGTTCTGATGCAGAGGAAGTGATGTCATTATTACTCGCCGGAAGTAGAGAGTTGATGAGCGATTTCAAAAAAATTTGCGCATATCTACCAGATGAAAGTGAAGAAGGGGTTTACTTATCTACAAATATTCTTGATTCAATTCCAACTAAAGAGTTAGAAAAATCATCGGAATGTGTTTCGACCGGTCCTGTGAGAGATATGGCTCTGATTCTGATACAAAAAGCCTACCGCAAGTTTAAAGTGATGAAAGGCGACTACAGCAGCTGGACATTTGGCATGATGCGTGATATGGCGGGTTTCTTCAAAGGTCTCAAACTGGTCGAGGTAAGCCGTTCACCATTATTTTGGTGACAGACAGGCGTCAGATGAAGATATGAAATCTGTGGTATCTTTAATGTTTTTCGTTTAGATGAACGTCGCTCTAAGGAACCTTGTTGTGCAGTGCTCAGTGGGTAAGGTGGATCAGTGTTCTTTGGAACACTTGGACTTCCTTTTGAGCACAGTTTACAGTTTACTGTCTTCGGCATTAAAGAATTTTGAAGGTTTAAGTCTCCGACTAGCATACTGTTATGGATTATTTCAAATGATTGGGATACGACTTCTTCAGAAGGTTCAAGATTTTCTCTTCCCTTATTGCTAATGGTGCCTTTAATGGCTGGGAAATTTTAGGGATATGTCAACGAAATACCAAAGGTTGATAAAAAGTTGGACGATGGTGAAGAGCGGACTGAATTCAGCGATGACGTTGCTGGCATGGGTGACGCAACTGGCTGTAAAGACGTTGGTAGTGAAATAGATGAAAGTGGACAGGTACTCCGCGATGGATTTTGAGTAGTGGATCTCTTTTCCAGCTGCTTCTTCAAGAATTTCTTTATTGCGACTTATAATTACTTAAATTTGTACCTTTCAGGTCGAAGGTTTAAAGACGGATGAACCAGGGGAACCAGGAGGTGAGAAAAATGAAAAGGAAAGTAGCAGTCCGATAGATGTAGATGATGAGTTTCTTGGTGAAGTAGAAGATTTGGAACTGGATAGTGGTACATATTTCTTCTTCTGTAGTTTTTTTTTGTTTATTTGGTAGAATATAAATATTTTAATCATATTCTTTGAGAAGCTGAAAGGGATAAGGATGGTGAAAGCGGTGAGGAGCCGGAATTTGATGAGACGATGGGGAAGGTTGACGAAAGTAGTGATGATGTAGTAGATCCTGGGCTGTGGAATGAAAATGAAGGGAACGAGGACGCTCTTCCAAAAGAGCTTGACCAAGGAAATCAAGGTGAGTAGTTTTGGCAGTTCTGTCAGGTGATCTCTTGTGCAATAATGAGTCTGTCGACACAAAGCAAATTTATTGCACTTATGATTTTTTGACGTGCTGGTCTTTTTTGCCAAGGCCGATTTTTTGATTATAGGTGCGAGAAAGGAAACAGGTGACTTGGCTGCTAAGGAAGAAGATGATGCGTTAGACGAGGAATTAGTTGAGAGCGGTAAGGAAGTTCCTGAGAACATTAATGAGGAGTTGTCTCTCGAAAATGTTGATGAAAGGGAAGTTCCTGACCAAACTGATGAGGGCATCGAAGCAGATGAAGGTCCTGCTGGAGAGCAGCTTAAGAATCAGCTAGAAGATGAAGTGGCTGAGTGTGAAGAAACTGGTATGGAAACTGTGGAGGAAAGCGAAAACAGATATAGCGATGCAGATTCAGAGGATGCCGATGCTTCTGAAGATCCGGGTGTGACAACGGTAGCGTCCAAACTGCATTAGATGTTTTGATTTCCCAGTAAGAATATGACGTTCTTTGTCTTTTTATTGTATACACCGACATTTAAAGGAAACAGCAAAAGAAGAAGACAAGGATCTTGTAGAGGATACATTGTCTACGAATAATACCACTGGAGAAGAGGTTTTTACAAACACTCCTGGCGCTGAGCTGCAAGAAGGTGAAAAAACTAATTTCAGTTGCAGCAACACTGCTAACGAAATTAAAACTCTTGAAGATGCTGTGGGAGGAAGTGATCAAAGGTAGGTTTTGACGCAATTTCAGAAAGCTTATAATAATTGGCGATCACAGTGGTTCTACTGCCTGTTGCTTAGTGGTTTTCTTTGTCTTATATTTGAAGAATTTGACAAGGCACGAACCAATGGAAGGATGTTTGCTTTGTGTCATTAGAAAAACTTTAGTACGGTGGGAATTGTGTGTTGTGCATTGTGCATTGTGTCATTTCAAATACTCGTGTTTAGGAACTTCACTAACAACGCAAAGAGCAAAGAGGCCTGGGCGAATGAAGGAGACAAGGAATTTTCCGACGTTGAGGTCGAAGACCACAAAGCCGAAACAGTTGAGTTACGAGATAAAAATTGTGAGAAGACGGTAGCTGATGTCTTTCTAGATGAAATAGTTGATTTGGAAGAGGGAGAAGGGCAGTCCCACTCAGAAGGAAACCAATTTGTTCATTGTGCAGAGGCGACTACCAGCACCCGCGACAAACTTGTTGTGAAAGAAGGATCAATTGATGAGGCGAAATCGACTCGTAGTTTGTTCCAAGATTTGTCACATCGAGTGGGGAAGAGGTCGTACCTGCAGGTAACTGACTAAGGGATTTTTTCTTTCTTGGCGAAGAATAGGCTTCTGCATTTACAGGCTAAAAAAGAGATCCTTGAAGAAGGTAACGATACGGACCTGAAAAAGACCGATGAAGTTAACTCTTCAAAATCCGAAAGGGAGGAAAAGCAAGATTTCCTAATACATACGTCGACAGACCTCTATCGTCTCGTAGGACCCTTGACATCATTTTCTTTAGAACTTTCCGTTTTTTGCTACTGCTAGTGACCTTAGCTGTAGCGCCTCAGTAATAATGCTTACAACAAGCGAAACAACTGGTTTGTTTGCAGATCAGTACAGAAGACTCTCATCAGTTGAACCAAAAGGAAACATTAGACGAAAGAAGTGTCAAGGAAGGTTCATCCGCAGCGGAGCTGTTGTGGAGCGAAATAGCAGAGTCGGTTTCTGTCCTGTCGAACGAACTGGCAGAAACCTTGAGGATGATTATTGAACCAACTTTGGCATCCAAGCTTGAGTACGTATTGCAGCTCTGTTGACTGTATAATGTTTTGGGCTTTCCCACACTCATTTTATATTTGCAGGGGCGACTACCGTTCTGGAAAGCGATTAAATATGAGGCGCTTAATCCCCTACATAGCTAGCGGTTATAAGAAGGACCGGATATGGTTAAGGAGAACAAAAAAGTCAAAAAGGAATTATCAGATCTTGCTTGCCATTGATGACACCTTGTCTATGAGGGAATATAACCTCGGCACGGTAAGAACCACGTGGTTAGCGGAAACGGCTTTATTCTAATGAGGTCTTGTTACCGTTCCTACCATTAAGGTCGCATTTCAAAGCGTTTGCCTGATTGAGAGGGCGTTAAACCGGCTAGAGATTGGACAGTTGGGTATATGCAAGTTCGGGAAGACAGTTAAGTTGATAAGTAACTTTACCGCTAACGAAGACTCGCAACTGGGTGGTAAGATAATTACCGAGTTAACGTTTGAGCAGGACCGAACGGACCTCATAAATTTGCTGGTTTGTGGCGAAAAAGTAATTTTTTGCTTCCTCACCTGCTTCCTCACTTCCTCACAGATCTAAATCTCAAAGTTAGCTCTGAACCAGTTCTCTTCTCTTTAGCTGTTGCAAGAAGCTCGTGTGGGTAGCAGAGCCAAGCAGATGATGATAATTGTTTCAGATGGGCGAGGAGCATTAGCAAGCCAGTCTGAAAAAGTTGCTGAGGTGCAGCAAATTCGTCTAAGATTTTTTATCTTGTACTGATAGATCCATCTTTTATAGCGAGGCTTTTTCAGGCGCTGCGGAATCTCCAAACCGAGGAAGTAACAGTGCTGTTCATCGCAATTGATAGTGGTGAAAAGTCTATTGTTGACATGAAAGTCGCGGAGTTCACGAATGATGGGAGTGTCAGTCTCGTTCCTTATTTGGAAAGGTTCCCATTCCCGTTTTACCTAATAGTCAGACACGTGTCGATACTACCTGCAGCAGTCGGCGACGCTATCCGACAGTGGTTTGAAATAACAGCCCATGACCTCGTTTAAAACTGGATACTTCACTTCGCCTGTTAATGTGTAGTTGTTTTGTCATTCTTACGTTGGTCTTGCGCAGGCCTCGTAATTTGTTGTTAAGGTATTGCCATTGTTG